CTTGTTACGATGACATCATATCCTGAAGGCTTTCTTTGGTGCTTCATGTTTTATTCCTTCTTCTTTCCATTAGATTTACTCTTATCAAAGTATATCTTCATTGTTCCAACATTTGAGCTACCCCAGACCTGAGAATGTCGGATATGCTCTCCACTGATCAACACTGCGGAGGGTTATGCATAGGTTTGGCATCTGGCTGCTGTGTTACACTTTGTTGTTGCCTCCATTATGTCTTCCTGTGTTGCTCTTTCCACTCAGCTCCCTTAGTAAGAAACTGTAACCTGGTGCTGCCATGCCATTATGACACAAAAAAAATTGGCCAGGTCTGGCTCGTTTCACACGGTCTTGGGAAACAGACATGGAAGGGAGGGCATCGCGATAGCACAAGCAACAGGGTTATGGGTGAAAATAAATACATTTCCATGTTTGTCTTTTAGTGGTTTGGGGTCATCGTTGGGTCTGTCTGCACACTTCTGGACACATGAATGGTGAATGCCTGGCTTACATACCACACACAAGGAGAAGAGCAGGAAACAGAGAGGAATTTAGATGCGGGAGTGGCGATAGATGGGAAGGTCAATAGGATGATGAGGGACGAGAGAAACCCATTAGACTGAATGGAGAAGCACCGACAGTGTTATCACACAGAGAGGAGGGATTTTTCACTGTTTCCTCCACTTCATGGTCAAATCATTACTAATGTCCATGCCAAGGAAGTAACTCTGCATTCACCCTCCTAATGCGCACTGCAACCTCACTAAAACAGGAAAGACTATCAACTTCTAGGAATGTGTGCTACCAAACTGGTTTAATTATTGTAGCACAGATCCCAGATGACCTCCCTTTGAGTTCTTTAAATGGCACAATGTCATTACTTTCTCATCCGCTATAGCAGTCAGTACAATGGAGAATTAACAACATTAATAAAACAAAGAATGTTTTAGTTGTCAACGGTTATTAAGTTAAAGGCAGAATTACTATAACTTACTATTAGTAAAGGGCAGGCTCACAAAAAACGCCATTCAATTATTTTCAGGTTTACTGCCGTCAGGATATTGTGACATACCACAGTGGGACACCCTGGGCAGAGAGACATATGAGGGAAAATAAGGCAGCCACCAGGACTATTATGGGGAACTTAGCCAGCGGGATCTCTTGCAATGTTTTTAAATTCATGCATTTGAGCAAAATGTGAGCTTTTAGAGTAACCAGTATTATCCCCATCTTTATGCCAGTTAGCCTACAATCACATGCTCCTATGATAGCTCCATCCAGCTGGCACTAAGACTCAAAAAACACCAAAACCTCCTTAAAAAAACCAAACAGGTCCCTGAGGGTCAGATTCTCTGCTACCATGTGCTGATCCTCGTGAGGTCCTGGCTGTGCCCCCCTCACTGCACAGATATTCTTTGTGCATTTACACCAAAATAAGTCAAATGTTAAGACGGGGAGGGTGACTACAGGGAGAAGAAGAAAAGGAGAAAGCGATAAAAGTTAAATCCACCAGAAATACTCCCCTGCCAGGTTTAGCTAATCAGGATTCTTCAGCTGTAGACAGACACATGCTTCGCATTCAAATAACTTTTAACTGTGTAAAGATAATATTTCAAAAACAAATATCATGCCAGAGGAAAAGTTGGAAGATGGATTTAAAAACATGGTGAAAATATTCACATATTTAAATTACTCTGTCCAGTTTTACTGGTAATTTATGTTTAATGAGATTTTCACTGCATCATGTTATGCGTCATGTTAATTTTTTATTTATTTAAGCAGTTTAAGGTTTAATCCCCTGTGATTCAGCCCTTAATGAAGATTTTCTGATTGTGTGATAATGACAGAAAAATAAAGCCAAAGCCAAAGCTTGGCAATTGGATTCCACCAGACCTATTTTAAATAATAATAATAATAATAATAATAATAATAAATTGAATTTGTATAGCGCTTTTCACAAACTCAAAGTCGCTTTACAGATCAGATAAAGAAACACGATAAAAAAATAAATAAATAAATAAAAAAACAGCTAGGGATAGGCAGAGGAGAAGAGATGGGTCTTAAGGGACTGGAAAATGGTGAGGGACTCAGAGGTGCGGATCTCATGGGGGAGGGAGTTCCAGAGCCTGGGAGCTGCCCTAGAAAAGGCTCTTTCCCCAAGACTGATGAGCTTGGACTTGGGGACGTAGAGGAGACCGGCTGAGGTGGATCTGAAGGACCGTGAAGGTTGGTAGGGGGAGAGGAGGACAGTGAGGTATGAAGGGGCCAGGTGGTGGCTTTGTAGGTGAGGACCAGGATTTTGTATGTGATCCGGTGAGAAATGGGAAGCCAGTGTAGTTGTTTTAGGACAGGAGTGATGTGGTGCCAGGATTTGGAGCAGGTGATGAGTCGTGTTGCTAAGTTCTGGACCAGTTGGAGTCTTTTTATGTAGGTTGAGCTGATACCAAGGAGCAGTGAGTTGCAATAGTCCAGCCGTGAAGAGATGAAGGCGTGAATGAGTCTTTCAGCAGCAGAGGGTGTGAGTGAGGATCTGATTTTGGCAATATTTTGAAGGTGAAAGAAGGAGGTTTTAATGTCATGACGGATGTGGGGCTCAAGGGAGAGGGTGGAATCAAAGATCACACCGAGGTTGAAGGCCTGGGGAGATGGGGAGACAATGGTGCCGTCGATGGTGAGAGTGGGGTTATTGGCTTTGCTGAGAGTGGATTTGGAGCCTATGAGGAGGAATTCTGTTTTATTGCTGTTTAGTTTGAGGAAGTTGTGTTGCATCCAGGTTTTAATCGCTAACAGACAGGAGTTGATGTGGGAGAGGGGGGGATTGTGGGGGGATTTGGTGCTGAGGTAGATCAGGGTGTCATCAGCATAACAGTGGAAGTTCAGGTTGAAGAGGCGGAGTATCTGACCAAGGGGGAGGATGTAGATGATGAAGAGAAGGGGGCCAAGTACAGAGCCTTGGGGAACGCCTTGGGTGACTGTGACTGTAGCAGAGGTGTGGATATGAAGAGAGATGAAGTGGGATCTGTTGGAAAGGCAGGAACGGAGCCAGGTGAGTGCAGTACCTTCGACACCAAGGTCTTGGAGTCTGGTGAGCAGGATGTTATGGCTCACAGTATCGAAGGCTGCACTCAGGTCAAGAAGAATAAGGATGTTGAGGGAACCGGTGTCAGCAGAAGTGAGTAGGTCGTTGAAGACTTTGAGGAGAGCATTTTCTGTGCTGTGGAGGGGGCGAAAATCAGATTGGAAGGGTTCAAATTGGTTATTGGCATGGAGATGAGTTTATAATTGTGAGGCGACTATACGTTCGAGGGTTTTAGACAGAAAGGGGAGGTTGGATATTGGGCGGTAGTTATTAAGGGAAGCGGGATCAAGACCAGGTTTTTTAAGGACTGGGGTGACAGCGGCAGTTTTGAAAGCAGAGGGGACGGTTCCAAGGGACAGTGAGGAGTTGAAGAGGTTAGTGAGGTAAGGGGAAAGGACGGGGAGGCATGACTTCATGAGAGGAGTAGGGAGGGAGTCAAGTGAGCAGGTAGTGGGTTTGGAAGAGCTGATGAGTTTAGAGATTTCAGGGGTAGTGACCAGGTCAAACTGGGAGAGGCAGTGTGGAAATATTATTATACCAACTTTCTTTGTGTTTGTTTTAACTTCTTTTGAGATGTAAACATCAGGAGGATGCTACTATGTAAGAGTGGGAAGTCACAGACTACTGACTTTTAATGGTATTAAATTGCTAACTTCTAAGGACACATAACAATGTTATATATTGCTTGCTATATTGCTTAGAAATAAACATAAAATACAAAGCAATCATTACAGAAATTAAGATTTTGAACTAAAATATTCAAGTCTTTTAAATGTTTAACCACTCAATACTTACATTAACCTTTTTAGTCATAACTTCAGTTTCATTAATTGTGGATATTTTAAGAGTTCCTTAACAAACTTTAAAAAGGTATCTGGTCTGATACATTGCGAGTGACCAGCAGGAGCACCTGTTCACAGACACCAGCATGATCTTGGCTTGATTCAGCCTCATATGGTTGCATTGTTTGACAAGAAAGTCTCCAGGCAGTCCTCAAAAACCCAGCGGTGGGACTGCAGTGCTTCCAGATGTGGTCTGCCGGGATTACTGAAACAGCACAGCTCTGTGTGAACATGAACAGTGAACACCCAGCACAAGACATCAGTACAAAAATTTGTCACTTTCTGCTGATGTGGTTTGATTACAAAACAATATGTGTGTTTTGTCTATGTGAGTTGGAGCTTTTGAAAAAAAAAAAGAAGATGTATACAATACTTGTAAGCGGGCTTGTGTATTTGTGCGGTTCAATGGATGACTCACTAAAGGCTGTTAGTCATCTGTCCAGGGACACACAAAAACCGGGGCCAAGCACTGTGACGCCATGTGCTTTCACAGGCCTCTTAGCTATGTAGATGTAGGAGGCAGGAGGAGTACTGTTTACCAGGTGCATCTTCAAAAAGACGCAAACTCAGCTTCTTTAACACCTTTCTATAAAACCCATCTCCAAGTCAACGTAAAGCTTTCTGTATTGTGGATGACCAGAATTTTTTTATTCAGATTTGTGTTCACATAGAAGTACTATTTGTACTGTATTTTCTTTTCATAGATAGATCTATCTGGAAACTGCTTGTATGTGTACGTTGTCTATTTGAGCATCACCTGAAACTTCCCTCAAGTGCACAGCCCCCACATTGCAGAAACAGTCCCGCCACTAGAGCACAAACTGTCAACTTCTATGAAACCAGAAAACAAAACTACATTAAAGATAAAGCTTAACAGGATGTCAAGTTTCACCCACTAACATCCCATTATCTCATTCTGCTTGCTGTACATGTGCACTGTCCACACACACACACAGGAACAAGGGAGGAGTCAGGGACGGTTGCATTGGAGGAAACGGGTTAACGGCAGGCAGTTAGAAAAGGGGTGTGGAAAGAGTAGAGAGAGAAGCCAAAGGAGTGGGGCCATATAAAGAGCAACAGAACATAAGCCAGGCTTTATCCTGCTTGCCTGTCCCGCACACTTAGACCTCACAGGAAACTCCCCCAGCCTTCACACACTCACTCATTATCACTTACCACACTTTTTACTCTCACACAGAGTCTCAACGGCTTGCTGAGTCTGACCAGAGAGGATGCCTGCGCCCATGTGGAGAATGAATGGGCTCTGGAGAAGGATGGCTGGAGTTCTGGTGCTCAGCGCTCTACTGCTCAGCAGTGAGTAATTATAGATTGTACTACCTTCTTTTGCAATCTTGATTGTCTCCAATATTCCCTCTCTCACCACACAGACTCTTATTTTATGTGTGAAACTGAAGTTTTTGCTGTTCCTTTTTTTTGTCTCCAAGAGTCTCAGAGATTATAACATTTGTGCATCCGTATGTGTACATCAACAGTGGCTTTTTACTGAGTAGTTGGTGGGGGGTTGCTTTGATGTGTTCCAGGCATGGTTAGCGGCAACATGGTTGTAGACACAAAGGGTCTGCTCAGGAGTGGAAAGTTGCTGTTGAGAATAATTATGCTTTACATCCTGCAGTGCATCTGGGTGGAGCTAACGTGTGTGTTTGAAAGTGTGTAAAACCACGCACAGCCTTAAAATAGATAAATGTATTTTTATATTAAAAATAGGAACTGTATTGATCTGTTGCATGGTTACATCCTCCTGACTGTGACACCAGTGAGCTATAAAGATATTTCAAGTACATATTAGTGTGTGTGTGTGTGTGTGTGTGTGTGTGTGTGTGTGTGTGTGTGTGTGCAATCATTGGGTGTGTGTGGACTCACTGGGCAGTCCACTCCAAATCGGTCTGATGCTAATTGCAGGGTGATGTATGGCTTGGATGGCATTGCTGCCTCGCTGCTGTAAAGCAGGACTAGATCTAGTTTAGCGCAATATAACGACTTCTGCAGAGCCATGAGGCCCCATCTATGGGCACAGGGGTGTTGAATATTTGGTGTGACCTTGGGAAGACTAGGAGGAGTATCCCAGACTGATGAAAATAACTAAAGGTTTACTTTAAAAGGGAAAAGATCGTGAGATGGCAGAACATGTTTGTAGCTTGCACAATAAAAAGGCACACCACATACCGTCTGCATCAGCAGCTTAATAGATGGTAATTAGATCTACATGGAAATCTAATTACTCTGCCCACTCTCGCCAAGAAATGAAAGCCACAATGCAGGGACAACATTTTAAGACACAACTAATAATCAACTATGTATTTTCTCTTGTTGATTGAAAAACAGCTATTCTACCTATCTTATTATCTCTATAATTAGGATTTTGTTTTTAGCCATTGCTACTTATGATTAGCAGACAGGTTCTGATTTCTACTTTAAAAATCTCACAAGGGTGTGGCCTGAAGTCTGCTGACCCGTCCTAAGTTTTTTACCACATCCAACAGCAGTCCTCCGATCACACAGACCTGCTACATTGTTGACACTTGTGTCCAACTGGCAATGAGGTGTGAATTTACTCTGTGTATGCAATGGTTGTTTGTATCTATATCCTGCCAGTTCTACCACTCTGTGTCGATCATTTTAATACTTGTGGCCATTTCTGTTTTTCTTTTGATACATTTTGTATCGGGCGGCACAGTGGTACAGTGGTTAGAAGTCGTGGGATCAAACCCCGGTTTCCCCAACCAGTTTGCATGTTCTCCCTGTGTCTGCGTGGGTTCTCTCCAGGTGCTCCGGCTTCCTCCCACCATCCAAAGACATGCAGACTAGGTTGATTGGTGACCCTAAATTGTCCTTAGGTGTGAGTAGTTGTTTGTCTATGTGTGGCCCTGCAATGGACTGGCGATCTGTCCAGGGTGTACCCCGCCTTGCGCCCGATGTCAGCTGGGATTGGCTCCAGCCCCCCCCCCCCCGTGACCCTGTACGCAGGATAAGCGGTTGACTATGGATGGATGGACATTTTGTATCACCAGCCAAGTCACAAGAGACAAACTGTCTCCTCCGTGACTCACGATTAGGGCTATATGGCTACAATGGTTCATGGGTCAGAGATCTGACCCCAGTGACGTCAATCTTCATTGACATTTTTAACTTTTCATGCTCATGAGAAGACGCTTTGTCAAGCCACTCCATCCTGATAAATGCATAGGCGCTCCTCTGCACAGCTCCTGTCTTGCTCTGTATTGTTCTAACTGTGGAATCATTGTGTATAAGGAGGTTTAATGAATGCCACATTTGATTTGGTGGCAGTGATTTCATTAGATCAACACTGGCGAGTGAAAAAGTTAATAACATTTGCAGTGGACAAACATCTTAGAAAAAGTGACTCAGGCAAACAAGAGTTGAAGGGTGAATGGACTGGAGGTGGGATACAGGAGAGACAGGATGAGTGCCATTGATGCACTTGATTAGTGAATGTGTTTAACTGTGTTTATCAGAGCAAACATCCTTGTCATATATAAGCAGGCCAATCATCCAGACTCCTCTGCAAACAGATTTAGTTTATGTACCCACTTCTCATGGCTATCACCAGTAGTTATGCAGTCGTGCAAATATGTAATGTAGTGCAGACAATGTTGGATGATGTCAGTCTACGCCTCTTGGAGTATGTTATAAGCTGTCTCTCTCTCTCAAAACATTGGGGGAAAACCCAAGCTTTAAATCTGCTCTGGAGAAGGGGGAAAACATCTTGTCTTGCTTATTTCAGCTTGTCATCTACAATGACTGTTTCTGTTGCTAAGTCAGGGCCTCGGGCAGGGCTGAATGAGCTGTGACAATTGCTGTTAGAATATTCACTCGAGGTTGGGAGATTTTTTTTTTTTGGTGTGTATGTGTTTGTGTGTGCACATGCGTAAAGCCATCAATGCTCAGTAGATCCTTTGTGTAACACTCACTTAAGTGGCCTTCACTGATACAGGTCAGAATATGATAGCTTAAACTGAACTGATGAACTCACAGACTGCTGCCTTCTGTTAGAGAAAATGTAAGAAATTGTCAAGATTAAAACCTTGAAAAGGACAACACAGAGAGTACAGATCAGCATCCATATCTCCCTGCACACAAATGAACAATGTTTCTCAGACAGCAGCTTCCCCCTGCCAACATAAACATGGGCAGACTATTGCCACTCTCATTCTCATGGCCCTTGGCTATTGACCAGCATTCCTCCAGTCCCACGTTGTGATGGCGAAGTTTGATTCACGTCATCTGCTGGAGGGCGTGGATCTTTTACATAAGCCTTGGCAGATAGTGGTCTTATGTCAGGCTAGGGTGTGTGTCCACTTGGGCCCAAAGTTATGGCTGAAGAGCCACGTGAGCATGCTAATTAATTAAACCTGGAGCCTGTAATCTGTCAAACTGCCAATTTGCTTCAGTGATTTCTTGTGAGAGAGCCAGGTCCGGCTACAGCTGAAATCAATGAAATATTTGAACAAACACCGTCTGTCATAAGTGTCTGTTCCGATAACTCGTCTGCTAGCCCACAACAGCACAATCACAGAAACAATAGGACATTTTAAACTGCAATTCTCTCTTTGAATAATCTTAATTTGGAGCCAACTCTTTCCCAAAGAAAACATATCAATGATATGAAAACAAAGCCACTGTCGCTGCTAACTAAATGATCCTCCAGGAAAAGCAGTTGACTTGAAGAAATAGATCGTCTAGCAACAATATTTACCTAGTGAAACAATCTTAATGAAAAACAGATGCTGTGTTAGCATTCAAATCTTCCTTTTCCAATTACTGCTGTTCTGGTGAGCTTATTGTTCCTTGTTCCCTTGGCACCCTGCTGCAATTTTACAGCTGTTGGGTTTTACCAGCATATAGGAGGGGGGAAAGGGCCTCTCCTCCAGTTTCTCCTTCATTTTCAGCCCAGAAAATTTGGCGGGACAAGTAGCAGTGAGGCGGAGAAACTCCAGATATCACTGCTCAGATTGAAATCACCCCTGCATTCAGCTAATGAGCAGCCCCAAGATAATAGCGTGAATTCCAAAACAAGAACTTGGAAGCACTCTCTGCTTCTTGTGTCATCTCTGCCTTTTCACGCTGGCTCAAAAATAGCTAAGTGACCCTCCACACACTGATTGATGAAGGTTATGATGATGTCATGCCGAACACCAGTAGAAAGCAAAGGGTGTATATCACACATAGTGTATGTTGGAAAACCAAGCAATGCTGTCTTTATGGTGGGGTATACTGTTTATGCTGGGGAATAAGAGCACTCAATGAGCCCCTGCTCAGGCTTTTTGACTGCCGGAATAATTGCTCCTGGTAATTAATGTTCAGGCATGTTGTTGAAGCCTTGCTTTATACTTCCTAATTGAAAACACAAGACTGTGGCCTTTAGCTATTCAAGGTGCTCAGTTTGGACACCTTATTCATTTGTACTGTATATATAAACAGTTTCAGTGCAGCTTTTTTTTTCTTTCTTAAGACAAAACTGCAGAGTTTAGCCATATCTGGAAGGCTATCAGATTGTTGCTATTATTTCTCAATCTTCCCCTCCTCTTAGCCTCAATCACATTAGAGCCAGTTAGTGTAGGGCTATAGGTTTCAATATCTTTTTACAACCTCTCCCCACACAGTCTCAACAGAAGCTGGAATGAGTCCATGGACATCTGCTGTTGTGGCCCAATGCAGGTTCTGACACAGAGCTATGGCCGCTTGAAGCAGCTGAAAGAAGTGTTTTGGAAACATGGGTTTAAAGTTTCACTGCCCTGCTAAAACTATTTTAATGAGTAAATTAGGGGTTGAAAAACACAATGATCAGAAGCTGTTAGCTGCTATCAATCATAAATGTTACCTTTTCATTCTTTATTTTCGTCCTTCTAAGTGTTTATCCCAGCCTTCGGTTTTATCAACCCTGTATCAGTGTGATTGAAGGAAAGATTAAGATAAGATTAGTTAAAAATAACCACGTCAAGTCGATATAAAACAGAGGACAGTACGCCTGTGCTGTACACCCTATTATAACAGTTAGTGTGGATGTGATCCCACCCCAGGAGTGTTTGTCTGTATTCAAGAGTTGGTGTGTTATCTGCAGCCCCCAGCATGTTGACCTCTGCAGTTTGAAGAGGTCACTGAATGTCGCGTGCTATGACAGCCACATCCTGTCCTCGGATGTACATAGATAACATTCCACAAACCTGTTGTTAATTCCTTTCTATTTTTTTTTTTCTTCAAAACTATCTTGTGTTTTGTTGAAAAACAGCATGGGCGTTGACAGGGTGGAAAAGTCAACATTTGCCACCTGTTTG